AATAATGTGCCTCTAATTATAGGGAAAATTATAGGAGTATGTTCTAATTTTCCGAAAGGGTGGTTAAGAGGCAAACCACGGCTGATCACCTGTCACTCGCTAAAGTGTTGTTACTTTCTGGGCGAAAGAAAAGGCCCATAATTTGTGAAACCTCAATTAATCCACAGCTACCGGTGCAGAGATTCACCATTCATCAGTTAGTTTCTTTACAAAGACACTGCCTTTTCTTTAGAGCCACAGCTTCAGGACAGGGCTATAACTGTTCCTCTGAGAGCTCCTGCACAGCTGTGCATCTCTGTGCTGTAAACCAGTAAGGCTGTGCAACTGCTGAGCAGGGCTGGTCAGCCAGCAAGACCACAGGGTCTGGTGGCCTGCAGACCTGGATAAGTTCACTCAACTCAAGACTCTGATGAAAGTCATCTTCTACCGCTCCTGTGCAAGATTTCCTGAAGGGCCTGCATGCAATAAAGATTTAACCCAACTGTTTTGGGGAAAAAACAAGTGTTTTATGAAGTTCACACAGTGGAGGCCATGCAGGTTTGATTTTTGTTTGTGGGTCCTAGATTGTTTTAATGTTTATCCCTTGTAATACTGTAAAAACATTTAAATAAAATCTGTAGTGCATCATGTAGATTGCACAACTAAAACAACCTCAATATGAATACAGGGGTCAACACATACTAGAAAGTCATATCCCATTCCAAGCTCAGTGTCTGTAATCCAAAACTTGTTCTTATGCATCTCTGTGTACGCTGCCAAATTCACAAAATTCAAAAAACTTTTTTTCAGGATGTTTCTTGGTGCTTTTTTAATGAAGAAGCAAGCATGTTAGTATAATGAAAGCAGCACATCTCGATTTTAGTGCATCTCCAGCTGTAACAAGAGCTTGAGTGTCCCAGCTGGAGGATGTTATTTCCAGCACTAGGGAGCTGCTGACACAGTCATAGTGGGATGCATTTGGAAACACCAGGACATTTTAAAATTGTGGGTGAAGTGAAATGACAAATAATAAAACAGAGGCACATTTTAATTGGGATGGCACGCAAACATCATTTTAAGCTTTGAACTGCACAACTCTTACCAGAGACTGAAAAAATGCTGATAAAGATAACAGCCTTAAGAACGCATACATGGATTAAGCATTGCAGATGATCCAGATCGTAGAAAGAATATGGATTGCTACAGTACATCCCAGTCCAATAGAGTAAAAGCTATGCTCCTATTATTTTTTAAGAATCATCCCTTCCTTGCTGCCTGTTACGAGATACTGATACTGTTTGAGCTGGTGAGATGACAGACCTTTGTGGTCGAGGTCACGCCTGCTGGCAGAGACACCAAGCCTAGCCAAAGGGCCAGAGCAGCTGCTGGGCAGGCCTTAGCAGACGGTGCCACCCCGTCCTCGAAGGAACCCTTACAACAGAGGTGCATGCAGGGCTCTAGCAATGGAAACATGACTCTCACCGCACAGCAGCTTAATTCAGTTCTGGTTTTACAACCCTCTTAGGCTCTTCTTGCCCAAAGCAATGCAAACACATGCATGTGTATGTTTTCAAAGACGGGCCTAACTATTCCAGATACTCAGACTAGCACACCCAGCTCAGAATTTCCTTTTTATGCAAGAACCCACAGCTCGGCAACAGATCAAAAGGCTAAGCAATGGAGTCTGACATCCATCTTCTCACATGGCTTCTGCGACGACTTTCACATCCACACATATAAATGAAGACGAAAGCTCTAACTCAGCATTTATGAGCTTCGGAGACAATGAAGACTGATGTCTAAACATGCCAGCCCCTTTAAAGATCCTTTGTTTTTGAAGGATACAGGATGAATAATGTATCAACGTACCTCATGGACTAAACAAGGATGAAGCTCTTTGTGAATGTAATCCTTGCCAACCGGGATTTGGCAGCAGCATTACTGCTGATCACATTTGCTATGACACTTACTAGATTGTTTGTAGAAATTGGTTCACTGCTCGCTCCTCATATGCTGTGAGGATTATATAACACCTACGTGCTCTGCTGTAACTTTAAGAGGCACTCCTTGACTATATAACAGGACTAAGTGAGAGCAAACACTCCAATGTTTTGTAAAAGAAACTTCAGGCAGACGCGTTAATTCTGACCTTGTTTATTATTTCCTTACTGCTCTTCTTGGAGAAGTCTGGCAAACTCGCTTTCACTGCAAAATCATCTTTGGCAGCCTTTTTCGCTTTGTAAAATTGTGTCAGATGCATTAATCCATACATTAAATCATCATCATATTAATACTGCAACTAGTAAGATGAGGCATGTGTCAGTTATCACACCTTCACAAGCAAAGTCATTCTAAGGTGTCAGTCACAAACCTGGACTGAAATGAAAACGTGGCTCCAGAAAGCTAACAGGAAGTCCTCAGTAAACGCAGATATTGAGAGATACAGGATACATCTCATTTGTAATTATTTTAGATGATAAAGTACACTTAAATTATCCACGCACAGCACTGTCTGTTCTATAGCCCTGGAGCCGCAGTGCCATAAAAGTCACCAACCCCAGAGCCTCTGTACTCCACACCCCATAGTCATAAAGACAACTGCTGGCACCCACTGCACCCACTGATGCAAAAGGCAAGGCAAGATGTGGGACCAGTTAGCCATGACCCACTGGCGTAGCTCTGGGATGTGAGCTTTCAGTCTCATCGATACTTCCTGTTGTTGGGTTCTTTAATCTGCGTAAACTGACTTATTTTATATACACTGTACACACACACACTCACACGACAAACATGGGGACAGTGCCTTTCTTCTCCACACACACAAATACACATTACTGTACACAGCGAAGGAGGGTAAACCACAATGCACAAGCCCTGTACAAATAACACAATAACAATACAGCAGAATTAACCTGTGCCTAAAAGCTGTAGGAATTTGAGTCAAAATCCAAAGAATTGAAGAAGGGCTAAAAAATGCAGAATCACTGACTAAATTCATCCTGGCACTGGCTGCCAAAACTGCAGCCCCAATACATTTCCAACTCGCTGTCTGCCCGGGCACTGGCCCGCCCAGCCCATGTGAACAGCGCGAGCTCCAGACTGCAGCCTCCCTCTGAGCACAAGCACTGGCGCAGCAGGATTAATAAGGCCATTTGAGATAATCATGCCTACAGGAAACGACTGAGAGAAGAGGGAACCTTGGGGAGAGGTGAAATATTAGGGTATCGTGTCCATCACTCTCCCTCACATAGTCTTTTCGTGCCACATTACTGACCGAGCAGTGTAAATGAAGGGATCAGATAATGATTAATACTGTCATCGTCTTTTAATTAGCAAGCCAACAAGTGCTGTTCAAGCTGCTAGGCTCAAATCTTTCTCACATGCTGTAGATTCCCCCTCACACACTGGCAAAGAAGCAACCATTACAAGTCCTTAACTGGGACTACTGTAAATGGACTAGGCTCACTGGGCAGAACTTTACACTGAGCATTCCAGCCTGATAATCATACTGTAGACTTGAACATCTACTGTACATCTACTAAAAGTGCACATATGTAGAATATATACACACTGTGTATGTAATGGGTGTCTTCTAAGCAAATAAATTATTAATAATTAAACTAAAGCACTGCAAAAAAAAACAGACATCATCTAAGACAAATGGCAAGTGATTTTTCTATCGATTGATTTTCAATACCCACATTATTCTCAGAAGGTTGCAGGACTGAAGTCTCATCTCACGACACACACACACCTTCGCTCACACAGAAACTGTCCTCTACCTGGACTCTGAACACATGCTAAAGAGTTGTCAGAGCACACAGGTGCACTATCCTATGTGCAGGCAAAAATCATCAATTTCAAACCATAAAGACAGTGTGAGGCAAACTGTCACATTGTTTTCTCACTGTGAGGTAAGAAAACTATTAGGGAAATGCTATCATAATATGGTTTGCATTGAAGGTACTTTGAAAAACTGTAGGCTACAGTCAAGAAGCCACCCGTCCCTCCAGCAGACATCTGGCATGAACACCCAGAGGACTGGTGCAGAGGGATAGCTGGAAAACCCTGAAGTTACAGGTGGAAAGATACCCGCTATTGCAAGTTGTCACACAGCTGCCAGACCTTGCTCAGATAAAACAACGTCCTGTCATGTGAAGAAAAACAATATGCTGATAGAAAAGGAGATCTTGTTTTCTGCAAGACCAGCTTGACCATGCACAACTGCCAGATGAACAATTACAGCACTTTAGCAGAATCTCATCCCACATCTTTCCTTCCACTCCAGTGCTCAACAGCCCCTAAGGAAAAGAAGACCTTGCTGCACTGATCTCCATTCACATGCAGCCTGCAACTCACTCAGGTCGTGACATTTGCTTTGACGAGAAGACGTTTAGCTGAAGGGGCCTTTGGGAAAGATGTGCAATGGTCTGCCCAGGGCACTCACACAGAGGGTCCGAATGAGGATGTGTCACAGGAAGACAGATATTGATATGTGGCTGATAAATTCCAGGACCTGACTGACACTTTGATGGAAAATGCGTGACGCGACGACACACGATCATTGCCAGGGTCACCTCCTGTCAATACAATACCTGTTCCTTTGAGCTCTATCATCCAATTTAACGACTGAACTGACTATAAAAGTTCTCCACTGAAGAGCTAGTACAAACTTGCCAAATCAAGAGTGTTATGATACAGATGTCTTCTCTCATGTGGTCATCAAATACTGATCCTGCAAATAATGCTTGAAATCTCTGTGTAACATACTGTATGTTCCCTTCTGAAGCAGGCTTCCTATATGCTGTATATACTGTATAAGCTATATGATTTTGCAAGGTGCTTTGTAGCAAACTGCTTCAAAGGTCATTACAGCAAACAAAAGATGGACGGATATCCACTGATGTAGAGGGGAAACCTATCTCACTTACTGGTTTATGCTCAATCTGTGGTTTTGAAACTGATTCATATGTGCTGTGGTGCACTGAACTCACAAACTTTTCCAGGCAGCTTTTTCTCACCTTCCATTTCAGGAGCTTTCAAGAGTGTAACCCATCTGTGGGTGAAAGGTGCAGCAGGGTTATGAAATGATATCACAGACAGCCCTCGGGTCAACGTCGCAACTCTGCAACAACAGAATAACGTTCTCAGTCTTGCAGACTTTGCAAGGCTACCAGCCAGATTCCTGGGCACAGAGGCAGTTTCCACACAAATTCTGGTTCTCTTCTACAAACGCCAACTAACCTCGAGTGACAGTCCTTTACATTGCTACCTGCACACATTGAAATACCTTTCCTACAGTACCTTGATGAATTCAAAAAATGTCTCAGCTGACATGAGGAGAATATGCCCCCAAATAAAATGGGGTGCTATGATGTGAGCAGTGTCAGACATACTACTGTTTCAGTCCTCCAGCCCAGAAGAAATAGCAACCACTAGCTTTGTGTTTATTTTCACCACAGCATCGATTTCCTAGTCAATTATATACATTTTCTTAGGTGTTTACCTAATGTTGCACAATTTAGCTGTGAACCCATGTTTTATTGGTTAGAAGTTTTAATTCAATTTTAATTAACTACTTCTGAATCAACACAAATAGGAGAACACTAGGGGAAACTTTGGGGAAATGCATTTAAAAGAAAAAGCAAGAGCAGGCGGTGTGTCTGTATAAAGAGCTGCTGAAGCCGATGCCCTGGATTCTCACAGCCAGATGTGCTGAACAACCTGCTATCATTTGTAATTGTTGTTACGTTTTTATGCACCTGGGGGCCACAGAGCAAAAGGGCGTCACCCCAAGACCAAACACCTACAACAGCTTGGAAGGCATTCCACCACTGTGGCTGGTCATGAATATTTCAAACCCCTTTGCAATAATCCGTTTGAAATAAAGTCTGAAGTCTCATTGATATACCTCGACGGAGGGGCTGGGCATCTCAGCCCGACATGCCTGTGCTGTGTGGCTCCACTGGACTCGAGAAAATCTCTAGAGGAAAAGACGCGTTTGTCGGCTGTGTGTGAGTGGCGAATGCAGAGAGGAGACCTCTTTAAAGCCACTGCCAGTCATCCGTGAAGGAAACCGCTTCATATTTCAAAAGCCAGAAAAGGCACACAGGCACACGGACATGAAGAGCTTCACACATTACAGCCGAGAATGTCAGCAATCAAGGAGGCTAATCTGAAACCCCTCTCCCCCGAGGCTGACGAGTAATGGATTGAGTGATGCCGACTAGGAGCGCAGCCTGCGAGCAGCTGACAGCGCACTGTTTTGACATTAAAATGCTACGGCTTAATTCGACTAAACAACGGTGAGAAGCCTCAGTATCTCAGGACCTCAGCCGGACCCCGTCTGTGTCGTCGGCCAGTGAGGAGAGAAGGTGCTGGCCCTCTTCAGCTCTTGCTTCTTTGACGACGAAAGGTATCTGATGGGCTGTCCTCCCGGGACCGCTGCAGCCACACCCCTCCTCAGTCCCTGTGCAAGCCTACGGCTCTGATTCGCCCTGGGCAACTCCATCCCTCTTCTAAAAGAGGGAAACGGGAAAATGCACGCTTCTGATTGTATTTTAATGTCTCGACGCTCACCAAAACAAAGATCTTCATGCACGGCAGCTGTGAACTCCGATTAGAACTGCAAGCATTTTATCTGCCAATTCATCAGCTGTGCTTGCTTGTGTTTAATTTACCTGGAGTTTCACACACATTGCCAGTGTCGCTGTTGTAGAAATTCTACCACAGAACAGCGATTTTAATCACATCATTGTTGCATACTAAATGAGACGTTTGCGTAAATGTTTCCATTGTTAAAAGTGTTACTCCATGACCTAACGAACGGGTGATATACTGTAAAATGCCTAATCAGGGGAAAGCGACTGACTTCACAACGTTCTCTCCATCAAGGAGAGGGGAGGCATCTCCAGTGTTGCGTGCTGCTCATTCACCTTCACAGTGGGCTGGTCCTGCTCAGCAGAACTGCACACACTCAGCTGCACATGCAGCTTTGCATTGTTAAAACAAGACTGGGGGAGGAATTAAGCTTAAAACTGAAACAATATGCACGCATCCGCAGTCTGAGACCCACAGGAAATCAGGGGCTGCAGATGAAGAATTGCACGTCACTGCTAAGTTATTACCAGCGACAAGGGCGTATCCGCCATGGCTTCTCGTCTTACTTAAAGCCCCCCCCCTTACCCCTCAAGTGTCGCTTATGCTAATGTGACAGGCTTCAAACCATCAATCTCCAAAGCTAATTTCACTGCTTTCAATGCTTGGTTGCTCTTTACATCTCCCAAATTCAAACTCTCATTTTTATGCCGTTCTTCATGGTCAATTACAGAAACGCTGTAACAATCTTATCCCACAATGGGAATGAAGTCTGGGTTTCCCTTGTAGCCCAGTTAACTGGTAATAAGCCTCAATTCGCTGCCTGTCCGCCTCGGCCCCCGCGCTGCTCGCCGGCCCCACCCCTCGAGAAACCAAAGACCCGTCGAGCACTAAAGGCAAAAAGATCTTGATCCTTAACTACTTCAAAAATCAGATAAGATGCATCTTGGGGCAACAAGGGACAATCAAATTTTAAGATAAATTATTATTCTTGGTTCCTGATTAATTTTTTTTGCACAGAGAGAAACCTTCCCATGACACACACCCGTATTAAACTTTATAACTTTTGTTCCTGACCCTGACAGTAAACTACAGTACTTAAAGCGCACCAGAGCCCTACAGCACTGTTCGTCGGAGAGGTATTGGATTCCCACAGCAACATTCAGAAAGCTATAAATCACATTCAGCTTTTTATTACAAGGTGCTTAGAAAACATTCCTTTTCATAATAGATTTTTATTGCAAATATGAGTTTGCTGGGCATCATTTTATTATAAAATAAAGGCTTAACAGATATGCAATTAACTTGTAAATTGATGTTCTTTGATGTGCAAATCAAAGGTTACTATAAAAAGTATGGGAAGCCTTTTCAGCACAGACAATGAATAAGATAGAATGCGTAGTTCTGTTATTCTCATTCTGGGATTAGAAATAAAGGAGGATGGGAGAGTGCTACGCTGGAATATCGAAATTTAAAAGAAACAGTTATGGTCTAATAATGAAAGGCAGAATGAAAGGAAAGGTAAGGCACGTTCTTCCTTCTTTGTTCCCTGCTGCCCTGGAAGACTGGAAAGGTCTCCTTTCTGTTGACTTCACCACATGGCAGCCACAAAGAAGAGCCAAGCCAGTGGAAGAAAGACCTGACATTTTCAAGGATTATTCAATAAAAATGGCCATTTTTTTCACTTAAGCGCTTTCTAAACCTCCGGTTTCCTTCAAGGCAGAGATACTGCAGTGAGTCCAGTGTTACTCAGATTTATTAAGAGAGAAAGAACAAGGCAAGCAGCTAAAAGCCTGAGCTTCACCAGAACTCGCCTGAGGCGGCCCGTGTCCTGTGTTACACCACCGATCACCCCAGCAGACAGCAGGCGTTACTGCAGACACTCCAGAACCTTCCCCTTTCCCTTCCTGCACATACACAGACAAACACATGCGAATGTCTACTAAACTTGTCATGCATGTGTATTACTGGCCTCCTTATTCCCCAATGTGGGCGAAAAAATATTTTTGGATTGAACATTTAAAATACAAAACGCAGAAAACATTGACTTCCGAGTCCAATCACGGCACAGCAGCTTCAAACCCCAGAAATACAATGCTGTAATCTGGTGCTCGAGCTTCCAAACCAGAGGAAATGAGCACAGGTGCAACTCGCAGTGTTTCCCAAGGTTTTCCTCATTGCACTCCATCAGAAAACGATACCGGTAAACACAGAGGCTGCGTTATAAAACTTATTTTAAAAACTATCTAAGCAACACAACCAAAGAATGTTCTTTACAGATTAAATATACATCATCTGGCATGCTAATTAACCTGAAATCACCATGGCAAAGCCTCTTTCTCACCGACACTGGGAATCAAACTCCCATGGTGTGTGGCCTTAACAGCAGCACTGGGCCTCTGATGGCAACGAGAGCGCTGTGCACCTGTGTGCAGGTACTCTTCCTGTCTGGCTGGCCTGGCCCCCAGCCAGAGGGCCGGAGAGGCTGTGGAGCAGAGCAGACGGCTGCCCAGACTGCCCACGAGCACAAGGTTACCAACCGGCTAAAATTAGCAAGGTAACAAGGTTACCACACAGCTAAAATACTAACTTAAGACCTAACTTCGTAACTCATTTCAATAATAGAACATCCCTGTTGTGTTTAATTCAAATAATCATCATCACTGCACTCCCTGGCACATTGCAACACTTGTTATTTTGCCTACATACGTCCTATGAAACTTACAACTAGGCTTTTGCCTTATTCCTGTTCATTCTGCACCATTGTTGCTGTGGCCCGGGGAGTCTGCACAGGTCACAGCAGGAGGAAGGCTTACACAAGCAGATGCCCAGCTCAGCAGTCTAAGCGCAGTGAGCTTTTCCTCTCACTGCTCTCTGGAATGAGGCTAGCATCTCTCTCATGGTGGAATTGATCATTACAGCTGAATTCTGCCCCTTGTTTAAATAATGAAAGCAGAGAGAGTGCTGAAAGGCATGCTAATTGATTTGCAGATAAAGAAGGCCTGTTGTAATTAACACTTTATTAATCCCTTCACCTCTGGAAATGTCTGTTCCAGATTGCCTGCCGCCTAAGGAATTATTCTGTGCATTACACAAAAGGCCCCACTCAGACTGCCGTCAATAAAAGGTACCCTCGCTAATTTGTGCAGTAGAGTGCAAAGAGGAAAAAAAACATTAAAAAAAACTTTGAAAGAACTGTACCAGTCAGAGCCAAATAAAAGACCATCAGAAATGCCTTGTCTTACCCGTCAGAGACGTTCCTTGATAGACTGAGTGTAATGTGTGTAACATACAGCAGCCATTGTATCATTTTAATTTAGTGGGCAGCCTGTGCATACACAAGCATTGTAATAATCATCACCTTCCAACATGAGATTCTAGAAAAAATAAGTACAGTGACAGCTTTATATAGTCTTTACCTGTCTAAATGATATAATCTGGGTCTGGACAGCCTTCACTGCAGTTTTTGACTTCATAAAGTTCATATATCCCTCTTAATCTGCAAGGCTTCTTCCTCAGCTGTCCTTG